AATCTAAATCAAATTCAAGTGCGATTTTATCCATGGATGTCAGTTCTGACTGTGGCTTTTTGTGATTTGTGCGGTATCTGTTTACCCTGCACTATTTAGCGCGATTTTTATACTCACAAGGCATAAGTTAAAAGAAGAGTCAATCGAAGCTTATAAATCTGCTACTCCAACTGTTTGAATTGTTTGAAACACAAAATTTGGCATATCGATTTTCGCATAGCCTATTAATCAAGCCTGAAAATTGCAAACTGATCAGCTATAAAGCTGATTCACAAAAACTATTTAACAAAAGAAAGTTCGGAGCAAAGGCAAGCTCTCTTTTTTACTGGGTATTCAGTTGTCCAACACTCTCGATACGTGTTTTTTTTGTTAGTAACTGTTTTACATTTAGGAGAAAGGTACTTTATAATTACTCAAATTAAAAAATGTTTTGTGCATGTCCAAAACGGACTTTAAGCTTATATTTAAAGAAATTCAGATTATAACATATTTGACTCTCGACTTTTGACTTTTTTGACATGCTGGCGGGCCTTTGGTTATTCTAATAAATATTTCAACAGCAACACACACACACGCACACACTAACAGACAGACATAGTTTACTATCTTCTAAATATTTAAACGCAGCATCAGATCGTAAAAGCAAAATGTATGCAAAGTGCATGTCGAGCAGCAATCGAGACGAGCTGTAAAGAAGAAATACGTAGAGCACGAGCTGGAAAATTAAAATAAATAAAAGTAGACATCGAGCAGAGGCAGCAGCAAACAGGCCAGGCGCAAGTCGAAATGCGAGTGACTGATCGACTAGAAGATATCCTGTTAATTTCACTTTTCTATCTATATAATTAAATACTTATAATTCAAATAATTCTAATAATTATTGGGATAAAAAAACACCACGCAGCAAAAGTTATCTACAGAATATCAAGATAATATTTTTAAAATTCTGAAAAAAAGTTTGGGCAGAGAAATATAATACTTGGAAATGAATTCGATTTGTAGAAGGTTCAAGAGAAGCCATCTGACTCTAGCTGTAACATTTGTTGAGATCGTTGTTACATTTCTTAACAACTCTCCAATTCAACATACCCCATTTAACCATTTAATGGCTACAGGGTAAAGTAAGGGCAGAAAAAAATGCAACAATATTGAATAAAGTTAGTACCTGTCGAGCTGTTGTGTTCCATCGTATGCTGCATGTTATATATACTCGTACCTGTATTTTTACTCACATTTTTACGGCGAGTATTTTGCCAGGGCCAGCGGTGCAAAGCAGTCAACGGGATTCACACCCAAAGCACCTATAGAATCATGCATGAAATAGTGTGCAGGTATGTGTGTGTGTGTGTGTGTGCTTGTGTGTCTGATTTCTAATATAAACGCAAATATGCAAACATTGTGCTGGGAACATTTCACCACGTCTTTTCACGGCTTGGCACTAAAGCGAAAAAAAAATAAGATGACTTGGAAATACATCTGCATAGATCTCGGTGGGTTGGCAGAAAGTATATCGTAAATAAATATATCGTAGTAAATATTTGAAACACTTGAATAATTGTCATACAAATTATTATTAATAGTAAAAATTGAGTTTATGTTTGGGCACAACTATTAAATTTTTGAGCCACCATTTCTTAGATAATTCCATAGAGCTTGTGGAATTATTGATTTAATAGCGAATTTCCGAATTTTTAACTAAAGTCGTTGATAAATAATTTCTAGCACTTAAATGACGAGCAACTGTTATTAGCAAGGGATTCTTAAATAAAGTACGCAACGTGTCCAAATGGTTTTGTAGCCAAATATTGCACAATCTCATGCGCACACACACACAAACGCACAAAATTGCTTAATTTCATGCACATCCCAGTTGTTGCAAGTCCTCTAACAACCTCCTGTCGTCCCGCTACCGTTCAACTCATATGCCTCGCTGCATGTGCGTTGCCTGCATGCGAAAACAAATAAAAGCAAAATGCGCCAAAGCCGCAGTAAGTGTGTGAGTGCAAGTGTGAGCGTAAGTGTGTGTGTATGCGTGTGTGTGTGTGCGTGAGTGTGTTTGGGTAGCATGTCTTGTACACGCCCACACAATCAAGCGCCCATTTATGCACTAATTAAAATTTTATCGTTAAATCTTGTTTGCATGCATTGCAACATGCGGCGTGTTGAACCAAGCGACGCCAGATCTCGAGTGGTCCAGCAGCCAGGAGGAGCACCCAACTATGTTGCCCCCCCTCCAGATCTGTAGCCCCTTAGCCCTTTCATAGAATTTCAGTTGCCCCCATAACTAACCCCACCTTACCCGCGCCTTGCCACTACATTGACTCCCTGCTGAAACGTATGCAATGCGCACATTTTTCGTCGAAAATGTTTGGCAACAGTTATTTGCACTTCCGGCGCTTGCCACGCCCAAATATCCAATGCTATTGCCTCCCGCTGCGCCTGCACAGCCACAAACACACACACTCACATACACACACACACACGCACACACGCGCAGACACACACTCGGCTGGTAGCATTTGCATGTATTTAACGCTTGCCACCAAGCATTTTCATATTTTATTTGCTTTTCGCCAGTCAAATACGCGCACAATTCGCTTCCGATAAGTGCTATTGCATATCTTTCAAGTGCTTTATGGCTGCTGCCAGAGTGCTGTGTGTGTGTGTGTGTGTGTGTGGCAGATGGAGGGGGAGGGAGACGGGGATGTCGGCGCTGGTGCACAGAGAGGTTGCATGTTGCTCAGTTACTGCTTACACGCTGTTATTATAGTCGACCCATGGCCAACAATTAAATATGAATTGCATTTGGCGCACTGGCTGGCAATGTGATAAAAATCACAGAGTTTTGTCATTTTTTAGCAGAGATCTGTTTCCCACAACATTAATTTGCACACACACACACGGAGCTGACATTAGCACACTCAAAAATTGAGTTTTATAAAAATAAAAAGCCCATATAAATATAAACTCTGTGCATACATGCGCCAAACTAACTGACCGAAAAAGAGCTGAGGCAAACTTTTCGCGCTGCAACTTTTTTAATTTAATATCAAATACGCAGCGTATACGTAATTTTTGCGGCTTTAAGCGATAGTTGTGTGTGTGTTTGTGTGTACTTGCGTGTGTTTTGAATGTGGTCAAAAATTTAATTAAAATGTTTCATGAGCGAAATTTCAAATTCAAATTTCAAATTGCATGCAAAATGAATAATTGAATGCAACACGACTAGTTGAAACCAGTTTGAATGCTTTTCTTCTTAATTTTTGTCAGCTTCTGTTAACAAAATTCAAATGTTTGTTGTTTTGTTGTCGGTCAATTTGAACTGACAGTCAAAATAATCAAATTACAAAAAATGTATATTTAACAAACTTGTAAATTTAAGTTCATTAATTATTTATTTAAACAAATAATTGAATCGAATATTTAAAAAGCTATGGAGTGATTTTTCTAAAAGTTTGTGTGGTATATTTAGTAGCTAAAAGCTGAAAGCATGATAACAGCGGCAATACTTAATATATATAATAAAATATGAATGCTGTTAATAACATTTGTATGCTATTTGAAGATTTCTATATAGATTTCAATTAATTTAAGTTAAAAATAAGTTTGGGCTAAATTATTATGTAAATTATGTACGCTTAAAATGCTCATGATATGTTAAATACCTGTAAATACACCAACGCTGTTAATACTGTTAACATGTCTGCAATTACAAAACAAATATTTTATTGGTTTGCGGTTTCACTGTGCTAACCATTGGTTTGCCTTTAGTGGCATATAAATAGTTTGAAAACCTATTTTAAAAAAATATTTTCTGGTTAGAGTGTAAGCCATGTAATAAGCCAAGTTTTAAGACTGTAAAATGCACTTGAACCTTAACATTAAAATGTAAATGGCTCAATATTTTATTTATTGAAAAATATATCCGCTTTTTATTTGCAATGATTTTTAATTATTTTGATTATTTTGTCTGTCTGTCTGTCACACAGCCACAACCAAAACAACCGCAAAGAATTTACAAATTGAATTTGAATTGGAAACAATTTTAAACAGGTAAAAATATGTTAATAGCTTTCGTGAGGATTTAATTTTATTATGCATGCACATTTTTTTCCTTTAAGTTCTTAAAATTTGTATTTAAAATCTTTATTTTACATCTGTTTGGCGGTAAGGGCCAAAGTCTCAGTTTGGCAACGCCTGAGGTCATCAAGTCTCGCCGCTTTATCAGCTTAAGAGCTAAGCAGTACCACGCCCATTTTGAAGCAGCATCACTGGGGCGCCCTAAAAAAAACTTATTTATTACCTTTGTTTAGACTTTATATAACACTCGAGTTGATGGCACTTGAGCAAATGGCATTAGCATTGTCTTCTCTCTCCGTACTTGGGTGGTTGTCATTATTGTTGTTGTCGTTCTTCTTGTTGTTCTTGTTGCTGCCGCCGTCTTGTAAGCTTGAGATACTTCCTTATCATGGCCACAGGCCCCGAAGTAGATGAAATGTTTTCCTTGGTTTGCCACTTGGCGGGCCGCTGCGCTTGATTTGTGCGCCTCAAGTGTGCGGCGGAGAGTTTGTCTTGCGTCATGTTTATGCTCCTCGGAGTATGCTGTGAAAATTACATATCTCTCGCATGTAGTTATTTGCTTGTTTTTGCTGTTGTACTTGTGGTTGTCTAAGAAAACACTGATGATGCTTTGGTGTCAGCAGAGCAGCCTGTTAGATAGCTGACAAAGAGTCAATAGTATTAGCCTTATCTAGTAGCAATTGTCGTTCGGCTTAGGGTTGTTGATTTTAAAGAGGTTCAATGATTGGTTAAGGAGTATGCTTGATAATTAATGATCGCCTATCGTTTGGTGTGTAGCGTAAGGGAACAGCTATTGATTACTTGTTCGATAGTAAGAAAAACTGATCGTTTTTGTGATTAAAAACTCCCGATTAACACACTCAGCTATCGTAAGTACTTTAATTATATTTCAAATGAAATTCTATTTTTTTACTCAAAGCAACCAATACGTTTTTTGAAGCTTATTTATTTAAAAATACTTTTGGGTATTAAACCAATTATCGCTGTAAATTGTTGCTATTATCGATAGTAAGATAATAAAATGTGCGAAATACCTGCGAACTTTTTAACCTCCGATCTGGTGCATCATCTGCGAAGCGACAAGGCCAAGTTTGAATGGGTAAGTAAGTAGCAGTTCAGAATCTAATCAAAAACTGGGTCTCGTCTCTCATCTCGTAATACTTGCGCAGAAACCGCAGCCACAGTTGAAGAAAACCTGGACGCGTCCACGTTTCATGTTCGTATTCGAGCATGGGGATCTCAATACGGCAGCGCACTGTCTGGCGGAGCGTATGCACGAACCCTTCGAGCCCTTTCCCATTGCCAGTGTGGCTGTACAGCAGTCGGTGCGCGATGATTTTATTGAGAGCGTACGGAATCGCTTCCATCAGTTGAAGCCACATGTGGCCACGCATCCGAACTTTGAGCGTACCCTAAAGGAACTGGAGTATGGCGGCGTGAAATATGTGGCTGCGCCCGAGGAAAATGCGCCGCTCATTGCCAGTCCGATTATTGTCACGGACAATGTGACGCATCTGTTCTTTAGCAGCTGTCCCACGGGTGTTGTCACATTGAAGAGTTTCGATACCATACGAAAAGCAGCCGATATCTTTGTCAACGAACAGCCGCAATTTGAAGCAGTGCACGTATTTGATGAGAGCATCTCGAGCGTTTATGCACTGGCGTCGCGTGTCAGTTGCGTTCAGTTCTATGTGAACTGTATCGAAGTCTGCATGATGCCCATTCTGCCATTCTATGGCATGAGGCAGGCGCGCGCTCTCCTGCAGAATGGCTATCACTATGAGACCCTGGAACTGGGTGGTATTTGGCGTATAATCGTCTTTCCCTATACGACCACCTTTGTGCGACGCTGCTGCTGTCCGCAGGGTCAATGCACTTGCAACATCACTCACGGCATTTGCTGTGAATAAATGGTGTCGAACTGTGTTGTTGGGTTTTTCGAACACTTGCGCACATCTTTCAACCCAACCGGCATTCAGAAAAACTAAACTAAAATAAAAATCCAACTGTGATCTTAAGAAATTTCCAGTTCCTAGCTGGCAATTTTACTGACAGCACATGTGCCACATAATTTTCGCGGTTGTTGGATTCCAATTGGCATTACAGTTGAGGCAAAATATGTTGAACTAGTATTGTTAATTTAAGATTTTTGGTTGTAGGTTACATCAAGTGATCAGTAAATTTTAAGTATATTATGTGGGTTTATTTTTATGGAATGGGCTTTTGGAAAATATAAAGGCTGTTATGTTAACGCCGTTAAATTAAATGTTGTTGCCTGTAACATTGGACTATAGAATTTGACTAAGATGCAAATGAAAATAAAACATAATTTAAATTCGAATATATATAGAATATGGTAAAATCGCGCATTTACGTAAAAATTTCCTTAAACATTGAACTGTTGATAATTTTAAAATCTTTATGTTTTTATGCATTACATTTAATTAAGTTTATTTAATAGTACGTTTTTTTTTGCACTACAAAGTTTAGTTCTTTGTTTTGATTATTTTAAATGCTTGTATTTATCGGCCAGTGGCTGCTCTTTCCGCTTTGACTATATTAAATACTATTAGTTTCCTTCATTAATGGACATCACTGTACTTGGCCTCTACGACTGTAATTTGTCTGTATTTATCAGCCCGTGTCTGCGCCTTCCGTCTTGACAGTCTCAGCTGCCTGGTACACATACATATGTCGCAGACTGTTTGGCTTTTAATAAAACTCCACACAGTGCTCACTGCTGCGAAGTGCGAGCATTCGCTGCAGCAGTTGGTTAGCTCTTCCTACCAAAAGGCAACGATTAAACTGGCAGCTAGCCATTAGTTGCGGCTGCTGTTGCTGTTGCTGATGCGGCAGCTTGTCGCCAGTCATCGACAGCTTGGGCCACCGTCGAGTTTTTGGCATTTTGTGAGCCAACTTGTTAATGAGTTTGCCTTCAAGAACGGAAGAGAGCCCAATCTTCGAGATGCTGCTCATGTCAGGCCTAACGGCAACTGCAATCTCAAACCTTCAACAGTTTTTGGCAGTGAAAAGCAAATGTTGTTGCAATGTCTGACAACTAGCTGTCTGTCCGTCTGTCTGTCTGCCTGTCTATATGTCTGGATGTCAGTCAGTTTGTCGTATGACTGTCTGCCCATTCGTATTTGTCAGTTTTGTCTGCATTTGTGATTTGAGTTTGACAGATTTTGGCTGTGCAGCAGCGTCTGCTGCCATTTTATAGTTTTCCCGGTTATAAATGCAAAAAAAGAACAAAAAGTAAAAAGTAAAAACCAAGTTGCAGGTGTTTCGAAAAACGCTTTCACCAGCTAAAAGATTAAAGTGGAAAAACAGATTATGCTTTAGTAAATACTTTACTTTAAATACTTACATTTATTTACAATTTAGTCGGCTTAGTATGAAATGTTGAATCGTATCAGATATAACAACAGCTTAATAACTAGCATAGGATTTAACCTTAATTAAATCACTCGATTTAGAAAACAATTGAATGGCATCCGATATTAATATACTATAATATTTAAGTCAGATAATCCACAATTTACCATTGGGATTATTGTATATTAATATCATATGGCCGAAATATCAGATGTGGTTTCTTATATTATTAATATAAATCTTAGATATTTTATCATACATATATGAAAAGAGATTTAGCTCAGTTTTTGATTATTAAATATAGCACTTGAGCTGAATGGGAGTACTAAAGTCCAGTATTATTTTTAAGGTTCATATCAGGACTATAGTATTTAGTCCGAAGTGCAAAAAAATACCAAACTTTCAAAAGTTAAAATGTTCTTAAGAAATTGCTCACTAAAGAATCTAATGGTATTACATCTTTTTATCTCCAATTTTAGATCGGATTATATCTCGTATAAAGTAGAATTCTTACTATACAAATCTCGTAATATTTTATCTCTTTATCTCCGATCTTATATCTTAACATATCTCATTATATTACTTGGTAATATATAATTAAAGTATTTTTCCTGTAATACAAGACTCTCGTAATCTAGACAAATTCTGGACGAATTCGTAGCGAAAACGTTTGTCAAAACGCTTGCAATTAAATATTTTATGAGTGGACTGTGAAAAAGCTTAACGCAGCTGTTTATTTGTTTGCCTAGCCGTCTGGCATTTGGCTATAAATTGTTATTTATGTCTGGCGTTGGCGGCGCTGCCACGCCCACTTGCCAAACACGATGACCGCCTGCGGCCGTAATTCTATTAAGCTGTCGAACTTGAAAATTTTCGACCATGTCGCGGCAAAGTCAAAGCCACAGATTTCCGTTCGATTTGTTGTTTCCATTTCCATTTTTATGTTTTATTTTGTTTATTTTTTGGCTGAATGCTTTGAAAATGTTACGTCCGTGACTGCCAGTACTGAAACGCCGTGGGGCAGAACTGGAGCAAATGGTGGCCTATGCCGCAGTTTTTGGTAGCCATATTGCGGCGGCAACTGCCAGACAACGTACGGCCTCTCTGGGCCAACAAATGCAACAGCAACACAACATGAACAACCGCAACGGACACTTGTCAACGGCTGACGTTCTCGTTGTAAGCAGTTGATGTATGTGATGGTTGTTGTTGTTATTGATGCTGTGGTTGTTGAAATGCGGTGTTAGCTGTTGGTCCTAACGAAATTGAAGTGTGCCTAAAGTAAAGACTTTGAGTACCAAAAAAAAATAAACTTAACCATTTGATGCAGACTTAGTTTTGAGTTCGGTTCATAAAAGCGTGCTCTTAAAAAGGTTTGAGCACACGCTTGGTTTTGCAAAGCCCATAAACATTCTTTAATAATACTTTATTCTGGCGAAAATAAAACTATATTATAAATGCCAGCTATTCGACTTAACGAAACGCTCGACTGATTAAAGTATAGAAATCGTTGCAAAAAGCTAAACTATCTTAATCTCAATTTATGTGCACTTTATACTGTTAAAGGCTTTCGTATGCTTTTGAAGCACATTTCTAATTTTGTGTTGAAACATTAGTGCAAGTGAACAGACGGCTCGTCATCCTGATAAAGAGTATATACACTTCATAGGATTTCAGATTCCAACTTCTATGCGTTACAAATTTTAAAACTAAACTATAATACCCTCTACAAGGGTATACAAATATGTTATAATATCAATAAACAAAGCCTCTCTTTTGTTACTTAATTGGACTCGTCTCCGTGCTATATGAAACCCAAATCGCAGCTGACAAAATTTGGCCCAGGGAAACATGCAACATTCACAACAAATAGAAAAAAAAGCAACAAAGAGCAACAACAAATGGCAATCAATTCAAAGCCACTGTTCAAATACAAGAACAATACGAGGCAAATAGACAAGCGACCGCAACAATTTGAAAAACATTACCCATACGCCATGTGCAACAAACAGAACATTGCAGCAAGACACCAGAAAAACCAAAAACCGAAAGTGGGAGACAGCGAGTGCAGATGTGCGAGTGAACAATCGGAAACAGAGGCGCTTGCGGTACAGTAAAGCCCCATGTGGAAGCGCAGTGTATTTTCAACACCTGCTGGTCAAACAAATCGTGTTCATTTTGGTACAAACACTAATTTCGACAAGGTGCAAACAAGCTGACGTTTCCCGAGTCTGGGCATGTGAACTGCGAATGGGTAACAGGAAAACACACACACACACACACAAAATAGACACAACACACACACATTCACACAGTGGCATGTCACGTGCTGCTGTTCTGGTTTGGTCTGGTCGGAATTGTGTCTGTGTCTGCGTTCGGGCCTGTCGTCGACAGATAAAATGCTTTTTTGAAAAATGTAAAATTGCATTTGTAACCGCATTTCATTAGAGAAAGAAAGTCAAGCGTCAGGTAGCAGCAGCACCAGCAGCAGCAGCAACAGCGGCAGACAGCGGCACGTAGCCCAAAAATGCCATTGGGCTAACACAAACAACAACTTGCAGCCGGCAACCGGCAACCGGCAACGTGCAACATTCAACCTGCAACAGGGTACGCATTCGCGACAGCATAGCTTGCGTCACGGTCAGCGACCAAGCAACAGCATAGCTCGTGGCAGGATGGGGTGATGTGGTGGGCGGGACCCCTGCCCTCTGCGAAGGTTACAGTTGCCATTTTTGTTTCTGTCAGAACATAAATATGGCCGTATGCTGTGCGAATGAGCGCGAGTGTGCGTCTGGCTGCTCGTTTAGGCCTTAAATATCTACCCGAAATGTTGATACGGGTATTTGAGCCTTGTGTATGTGTGCTTGTGTGTGTGTGTGTGCTATGCGGGCGCTACAATGAGCGTGTGTCAACGTATGATTTGATAATCATTCTAAATCATGCGATAGAATGCAGTTTACAGCAGATTCATAAACAGTTAGCGACATTTAGGATTTCCTGTTGCGCGTCCATTGGAGATGGCAAAGTCAACAATTTGTTTCGAAACAAAAATTACAAAAGTTAAACTACATGTGAGGCTAGCCGGGTTGTGATCAATGTTCTCATCAACCAGATTAAGCAGGTTTTCAGTATAGCTCTTTGAAGGACATCCCCGTTCTATCCTCAGCTTATTTTGCTTACAGCTCTAGATTTGCAAGGCCTTGTCCTAAACACGAAGCTATAACCACTTGAGCATTATTAGCAATGAAAAGGCGAAAAGGTTTTAAACTAAAGTTTTAAGCTATTTGGTTTGAGGCTAAAAATATATCACTAATAAGGTCTAAACATTTTGAGAATAGTAATGCGACTACAAAAGTATTTAAAAATGGGATTGTTGTTGTTATACAAAAAAGTTTTTGTCAATATCTTGAGGACTTTCATTATTAGGCAAAGATTTGAGAGCTGACGGACTTAACTCTTTTATTTCACTCTTGCCGTGAAGATCTTGACAACTTATTAAGAATCTCCGCTAAAAAGAACAAGAAAGAGAGGATATATAAGACCATGATGAAGAGCTAAGAATAGTAAAGCTCGTAAATGCTGATTTTGATGAAAATATGTTGGAATACATTTTGCAATGCAAGAATCCACTTTTCGACCGATCGTCCTATGATAGCTATACGATATAGTTGTCAGATCTGGCCACTGAGAGAGTAGATCGCATAGAAACAGGACGGACAGACGGGCATGGCTGATCAGAATAAATATACTTAATGGGACCGGAGACGTCTCCTACTATGCGTTACACAAGGGTGCAAAGATAATGC